AAATGGGGCGGTTCCTGTCGTAGTTTGTAATAAAAGGCCTCATCTGAAGGTTCACTCAGCTGCACACCTGCTGGAACTCTTGACAGGTAAGAAGACCAGATTGTTAATCTGCCTCTATGTAGTATTTGGAAAAATGTTCTCTGTTCATCTAATATCTTATTTTTAAGTTCACATCCAGCTGAAATCCATTTTGGCAGTTTTGAAAGACGTCCACTTCTAAACCCTTTAGTCCTTTAAACTGTGATTTGACTGTTGAGCCCATTTAATGTAAGATCAACTCGTTTGGTTAAATATGTTTTTCCATCATGAAAGAATCATGTTTACTACAAACATGGCTTCACAGGCATCGCAGCTCATCATGACCCGGAATCACACAGCGTTACATTTCAGTGAACCAAAGGGAGGGTTGTGACCCGTTTGTGGTTGGAGTCGTCATGGAGAGAAGGTTTAGGACAGGATAACCCGTGCCTGAGAGACTATTTCCACTTCTCACCTGAAATTTGTTTTTCCCCTGTTTGGTGTGTGTTTCTTGTGAATCTGCTGGCTCAGATGGTTTTAGGGGTGACAGCAAATTGTCTGATGATTTATTGATATGTCCAGGATGTGTGTTTTCAGGACCAGCAGACGTTTTAACAACAGCTGCGCTGTCGAATCGCTTTCATTCAGAAGAAAATATTGCATTTTTTTAAAAACGACAAACCTTTATCAGCTTCATTTGTCCGTCTTTAAATTTATCATGCAGCTATTGTGCATGAATGCGTTGACTAATTCAGTATAGAGAATACCAATGTGTGGCTGCGTTTAATAACTTAAATATTCGTTTTATTATGACCATTATTAGTCTAATACCCAGAAGCAGTTTTGGTTGAGTAATCAACCATTTCTCCTTTCATTTCTTTTGTTAAATTTTTAGGTTATTCACCTATTCATCAAACTACCTTCTAGCCTTTTGTCATGGTATGGACCTTCACATTTTTAGCTTTATATTATAAGCCTCGGAACATAAAAGTCAAAAATTGAAAGACTTCTTTCATTGAGTCAATGCAATTTCCATTTGAGTGCTCTAGTCACATGGTCCAATCATTCTGCTTCCTCATAGCAAGATTTCATTAAAAGAAATCTAAAAAATGTCTCAGCCTGATTGAGAAACACTACTCTGAACATATCAGTACGTAGCATCTTAATCTGTTTAACGCAGTCTGCTTTGGGAATTTACTGCAGTTATGAAGAACAATACATATATGGCAACACATATTTTGCTTCAGTACATGAAGGGAGCTTCTAGATACTGTTATTCATGAGATCTTTGACAGCTGGAGGGCTGGTCCTTATCTGTCTGCGTTTCCGGGACAGGCTCTTCTGTAAAACTGTCATAAGGTAAATGCAGATAGGCAATTTAAAATGCAATTCATTTCAGAAATGATTGAAATTCACAGAAGAAATTTCAAAGACGCTCAATATTTCTGCCTGGAGGTTCTGAGCCTTTTTCTCTTCCAGCCTGAGAACATATTTCCCATTTAGTTTCTTTTTTTGCACCAGTTAGTACAATTATTATTTGATGAATGCATTTATATTTTTCAAAGTGTCTGACAATCTCTTCTCTGATTTCCAAGCACTAAGAAGACATCTCTTCCTTTTGGAGAGGCCACAATGGAAAGTAACTCAGGAGAAAGCGTGACCCCTGACCGCAGCGCCTCTGAACATTCATTTCTTTTTCACAAACCACGCATCTCTGCCTATGTGCAAAACAAGCCAGTGTCCACCAACACCAGGCTGTTTTCGGTGTTGGCCTTGCTGAATGCACACAATCCGGAGTCCAAGCTGGACTTTCAAGACTGTCAACAAATCCTCGGACCGCCTGATCCCAGCCATGGAGAACCTCCCTTTGAGAAAAGAATGGAGCCTTTTTCCTGCCTCATCACGGTGTCCAGTCAAGCCGTGCATGTGATAAACACAGATGTAGCCAAGAGCTGTTTGGAGCTATTAGCTGACCTGAACATTAGCAAAAATGCTATAGTGAAGGATTGCATAGAATTACTCTGTGGGGATAAAGTCCAACCGCACACAGTCAGTTCCCTCAGAAATGTTCTGACAGGGAGCAATGTGGTGGAAACCAGCAAAGACGTGTCCTTACGTCTGACTAAAGAAATAATGGGGAAAGAGAGCATGGCGGCGCCAACGACGACTACAGAAAGCAGCTCAGACAGAACCGAGACCTCGACTGTTAATCTGAAGTCATTCTTGGACTTCTTTTTTGGTCTTTTTAAATCAGACATATTTGAATATGTTGAAAGCTTCCCAGATTCCAACAACACAAAGTTGTTCTCTATCTTGGCGCTGTTGAACGTTTATGTTCCAGAGTCCTACCTGGTTCTGGAAGACCCCCAACAGATCTTCGACGATCCACTTGAGGAAAAATTGAAGCCATTTCTCAGTTGTGACAGAGCACAAAGTCAACGTGTGTTCATGATTCACCCAGATATTGCAAACAGATCTTTGGAGCAACTGGTTGCCCTGAAGATTTCCAGAAGTTTCATCGCATCCAACTGTATAGTTTCACTTTGCGGAGACCAAGGCCATCATGGCTTAGTCAAATTGATGAAAAAGCTACTGGTAGAGAGAGAAAGAGGGAGAATGGCAAAATGAAGTTCTCAACATTGATAGAAGACATATTGAATATAGAGAGTTCTTCTGAAGCTCTTGATGTATTAAAACTGGCTTCCCAGAAATTTCAAGACATTTTCATCTATCCTCAAACAATTGCTCGCTTGTATTATCAACATGACATAAACTATAACGAAGCAGAACAATGGGCAAAAGAAGCTATCAAGAGAGATTTGAAAAATTCCTTTACTGCTGATACCCTTGGACAGGTGTATAAGAACTGGTTAAAGGAAAAATTCACATTACCCAGGGAAGTAAATAATATGGCAGAGAAAGCCTTCGAGGCCTTCAGAGATGTGGAGAAGAAAGCCGAGAATGAATGTGCCGATGAAACAAATTCGTTCAACAACCGAGGCCATTTTGGTTTCATTCAAGTGGCCAAGATCGTCTCTCAGAAACATGAACATAATCCGTTTGAGGACACCCACAAATTGGCAGTTGAAGACAAGTTTGAGTTCTTTGAGTGGTATCTCAGCTACTCGCAGCCTGACAGGACAACAGCGGAACCAGATTACTTTTGGGAAGATGTCGCCAGCTGCTATCAACTATACACGACGAAAAACGCAGCCGATTCCACCAGCTTCCCTGCTCTTCTCGATTGCCTGAATCACGGCCTTTCCGTGTCGAAGGAAAAACGAGCTTTCAAGGCTGAGGTTACTGAGAAAACACGGCCACAGCTGGAGCAAACCCGAGATGAGTTAAAGACCGCCTATGAGGCAAATGTAGATGACGTGAAAGTGGCAGAGAGGTACATCCTTTCAAACATCATCTTGAACAACAAAGGGCCCCGCTCTCCTCCAGACACCCTGGTTAGAGAACTTCAGGCGATCCTACAGAGGTTTCTACCCACCGGGGCAAACAGTAGAGACCCAGAGTTTTACCTTTTGGTCCTGATGTTGTTTTGGCCAGAGGAGCATCTACAGGCAGGCCAAGAAAACAGTGCCGAAGAATTACGAGAACCTGAAACAGACAAGGATCAGCTTCAAGAACAAACTACAGAGGAAGCAGATGTAAAAGAGAAGGACACAGGAGAAGAATCTGAGCAGTCCCTTCCTGGCCTCATATATGAATTCGACATAGAAGAATATGTCGCCTTGATGGAAAAAGCCTATGATAAGGTCTACGCCAAATACCTTCGAGGTCGTTACTTGCTGCCACTGTTTTTTCTAGGGAAGGGCTCAGGACTTAGCCGATGGATCCACAAGTCCAGACTGGACGAGGTGGTGGAAGTCATGGTGGACACTCAGCTCGCCAAGGGACACAAATAGGAACCAAGGGACACAAATAGGAACCAAATGAAATGGAAGAAAATCAACGAGATGTGGAGTAGTGGGAAGGTGTGGCAGCTGCCGCAAATCCAAGAGATACTTCAGCCACTCCCACGCTCAGTCATGACTTTTACAGTGCAGCCGAAGGTTGTGACTGTTACTGTTGGAGGGAAGAAAATGCAAGCCAGAACAGAGTGTAAATCTGGCACTCAGGCAAAGACCACCGTGTATTTTTATCTTGGCTTTGACATCAGGGGTCCTGTCGTCTTCAAAGTACCAGCTGCAGGAGGGACCTTCGAGGGCCCTTGAAGACGCCTTGAAGATTTCCAAACAAAGAGACAAGGCGACAAAAAAAACACTGCTTTGAATCAGAAAGCATTATTCAAACATTCTTTTTTTTAATTATTTTAATGAATGTCCTACATATTTCTGATCTTGCTTTTTAAAAACATGATGAGATATGTTAGTGACATAATGTGTTATGCTTTTATTGACTTTTGATAATGCCAACAAGTGTGTTGAACAGCTTTTATTACTTATGTTATGCATGAATTTCATACTCATGCTTTTGGCCTGGACTCATTGAAAGTTGTTTTTGTTCCATAAATCTGAGTTGCTCATTAACTGGATCTTTGTGTGTCATTACCTTCAGTGTGAAAGACTTTTTTCCTTTTCAAAACTTTATGGGTGGTTCAGTGTTCATATTATAAAACATCACTATAGTTTTAGTATCTTTATACAGAAAGGGGAATAATCAGAGTAAATCAAAATAATCAAATTCATATATGAATTATGAAATTGCTCACAAGCTCCTTTAGTGCTGCTGAATTTTGGGTTCTGGACAAAATTGTGAGAAATTGCCGATTAAAAATCTTCCATTTTCAAGAGCTGTATTTTTATGTAGTGCAGTTACATTTGAAAACGGCTTTTTCTGGCAATAAAATGATGAAATGTGGGAATAGTGGTATCAATTCAGACATTTTGTCAATAAATAAGTGGAAACAATGTCTTAAAGTTTGATGTGTGGCTCTTAAAAGAGCCTTTGTGTTGTTGTAGCTGCTGCAGCCTCTAAGCTCTCTCTCCGCGGATGCGGCGGGCCAGCTGGATGTCTTTGGGCATGATGGTGACCCTCTCGGCGTACAGGTTGTTGTCCTCAAAGAGCCCCAGCAGGGAGGCCTGCTGGCCTCCTTGCAGAGCCATGACGGCTGAGCTCTGGGGACGCAGGTCGGTCTTAAAGTCCTGGGCGATCTCACGGGCCGGCCACTGGAAGGGCACCTTGCGGATCAGCAGCTCGGTGGACTTCTGGTAGCGGCGGATCTCTCGCAGAGCCACAGTACCGGGCCTGTAGCGGTGAGGCTTCTTCACGCCGCCGGTCGCCGGAGCGCTCTTCCTGGCCGCCTTGGTGGCCAGCTGCTTCCTGGGGGCTTTGCCTCCGGTGGATTTACGGGCGGTCTGCTTGGTTCTGGCCATGTTCTGCTGCTCCGATCGGGATCCAGAGAGAAAACCAAATGTTGCGACCCGCCGACGCTCCGCTGCTCTTAAGCTCAGGCTCTGGGCGTCGCTCTGTGACGCTGCAGCTCCGCTCCGGATCCTGGTTGGTCGGCGGCTCCTCCTGCAGCTCAGCCCCGCCCACAGGCGTCGGATCACCTCTGAATGTCCGCCGCTCATTGGAGGACGCCGCGTTCAAAAAGTCCGCCTCTCCGTCCCGCTCTGCCGGGAGCTTTTCTGATTGGTCGCCGGCATCGTCCCGCTCCTCTGCGCGGACATATAAAGCCGCTTTCAGCCGCCGCTGCTCATATTTTCTCGAGTCTCGTCTCCAGAAACAAACAATAACAGCAAAATGAGCGGCCGCGGAAAGACCGGAGGAAAAGCCCGAGCCAAGGCCAAGACCCGCTCCTCCAGAGCAGGACTCCAATTCCCGGTGGGCCGCGTTCACAGGCTGCTGCGCAAAGGCAACTACGGTGAGCGGGTCGGTGCCGGAGCCCCCGTCTATCTGGCCGCTGTGCTCGAGTATCTGACCGCTGAGATCCTGGAGCTGGCCGGGAACGCCGCCCGCGACAACAAGAAGACCCGCATCATCCCGCGTCACCTGCAGCTGGCCGTGCGCAACGACGAGGAGCTCAACAAGCTGCTGGGTGGAGTCACCATCGCTCAGGGTGGAGTGCTGCCCAACATACAGGCGGTGCTGCTGCCCAAGAAGACCGAGAAGGCCGCTAAGGCCAAGTAGAACAACCCAGACACCCCGCTGCGCTGGAAACTAAACAACCAAAGGCTCTTTTAAGAGCCACACACTAAACTGGAAGAGCTCAGACTCATGCTGACTTTACTAACATCATAAACACCCAATTTTCTCAAACACATTACTTATAGAATTATGAATATTGTCTTAGTGGGACAAATTACACTAAACCACCACTGACTTCATGTTCATAAAGTCACATTTCATTTCATTCACCAGTGGAAATGTTGGAATAAAAAGTGATTCTGGTTCTGAACTACAATCTCAGCCACTTCACTTCTTTACCAAAGTCAAATTTTTGGATTATACAAATTAATGTAACGCTACAGTTAACAGTTACATCATGTTTTAATGAGCAGTATGTAGTCTGAGGCAAACTCATGCTCTTAAATTGTTTGCAGACATGAATTTCACTGTATAAAAAGTTTCTGAGACACTTAGGAAATCAGGTAACTGTATAACGGATCATTTTTCTGTAGGTTCTCATCAAATATTAAACTGAACTAATCACTCATAATTGATTTTTTATTTATTATTATTATTATTATTATTTTCATCCTCTCAAAATGAATTCGTGAATTGCCGAAGGAAAGCTATTTAAAGAAACGGCGGAGAAAACCAGGAGCGAGCTCGACTCCGCCCCTGTTCTCTCTCAGGTCCGCAGGTCTCCCATATAGTCTCTGTTTCCTCCTCCTGACCCTCATCGTCTCTTCAGACTCTTGTAGATCCACATGAGCGGCAGAGGAAAGGGAGGTAAAGGACTCGGTAAAGGAGGCGCCAAGCGCCACCGGAAAGTCCTCCGTGACAACATCCAGGGAATCACCAAGCCCGCCATCCGCCGTCTGGCTCGCCGCGGGGGAGTCAAGCGAATCTCCGGCCTCATCTACGAGGAGACCCGCGGTGTGCTCCAGGTCTTCCTGGAGAAGGTCATCCGTGACGCCGTCACCTACACAGAGCACGCCGAGAGGACGACCGTCACCGTCATGGACGTGGTCTACGCTCTCAAGAGGGCCGCACTCTGTACGGCTTCGGGGGTTACACAGTAAATTTGGTAGTGTTAAAGCAATACCTATAGAGTCGAATTTAACACCGTTTCCGAGTCTATATGTTCCCTATCGGAATTGGTGTTAATGTTACTCTTTCAACAGTGTTACATTTTCAGAGTTAAATTGAACTCTAAATCGAGTAAAAATTTTACACTGGCTAACACTGTGCAGTGTTAATAAAACTTAACACTCCTAGTAATAAAATAATAAAATAACTCTGTTAATAACCTACCTTTTAAGCTAAACTAAAAGTAGGTGGAGAAATGTAAAAAGAAATAAACTCTTGTGCAAGTTAAAGCAGCTATGACTGCACTTTAAAATCTGAAAGAGTCCCAACTTGGGTGTCATATCTGCTCACAAACTTCATGTGGCTGCAGCAAAAAGAAAAACAAAAAAACTCAAAGGTCGACCATGAAGTTTGGACATTTTAATCAGGCAGTTGTCTGGCCTCCCCATAAACTCCTATCCATGATAGAGGCTTAAATTTTATTTATCAACTTGTCCTGACAAAAGATGTATATTTCAATAACAAAACCCAGTTTAGACTTTCACCCAGAAAGTATACCTAGTAACTTGTCATTTCAGATAAAATCATAAAATGAAAGGGGAGAAAAAAAACTTCCAGCTCTTTGTTTATTGGTGGGTAATTATTGCATCTGATGGTCTTAATGTGGATATTTTGTGGTTTGACCATTTCGGTGACTTATCATAATATCTATTTTTAAACGTCCAATGGTTTATAATTGTGGCTATGAAACTGCCAACATGTTCTGTTTGACGACTATAAAATATAAAACGTTCAGAGGAACAACAGAGAGAAACATAGCAGAGGAAGCTTTGGGGTCAGGAACTTTTTCGTCCAGTTTCAATGACGTGTTGAGCTCACTCAACACGCTTAGTGGGACAAATTACACTAAACCACCACTGACTTCATGTTCATAAAGTCACATTTCATTTCATTCACCAGTGGAAATGTTGGAATAAAAAGTGATTCTGGTTCTGAACTACAATCTCAGCCACTTCACTTCTTTACCAAAGTCAAATTTTTGGATTATACAAATTAATGTAACGCTACAGTTAACAGTTATATCATGTTTTAATGAGCAGTATGTAGTCTGAGGCAAACTCATGCTCTTAAATTGTATGCAGACATGAATTTCACTGTATAAAAAGTTTCTGAGACACTTAGGAAATCAGGTAACTGTATAACGGATCATTTTTCTGTAGGTTCTCATCAAATATTAAACTGAACTAATCACTCATAATTGATTTTTTATTGATTTTTTGATAAGTTTTCATTGCAAAAAAATAAAAGGAAGAATGAAACGCTATTCCACAAACTGATAATCAGATGAATAAAATGCTCATTCTTGCCATTCAGTCCATAATGTACAAGAATATAATATAAATATCTACTGTTGATTCACATCCACTCAACATAAACACGTGATTACGCAACAGTCCTATCAATAAGACAATGGAGGCTTCTGTCATTTTACTTTTGAAAGCTCTTCAGTTTCACTAAAAACCGACATTCAATTCATTTCATTGTTTCTCAACTGAAACACGAGATTTCTCTTTACTTTCCTCTTGATTGTATTAAAAACTTATCAGGGGCATCACTTATTTTTTATCCTCTCAAAATGAATTCGTGAATTGCCGAAGGAAAGCTATTTAAAGAAACGGCGGAGAAAACCAGGAGCGAGCTCGGCTCCGCCCCTGTTCTCTCTCAGGTCCGCAGGTCTCCCATATAGTCTCTGTTTCCTCCTCCTGACCCGCATCGTCTCTTCAGACTCTTGTAGATCAACATGAGCGGCAGAGGAAAGGGAGGTAAAGGACTCGGTAAAGGAGGCGCCAAGCGCCACCGGAAAGTCCTCCGTGACAACATCCAGGGAATCACCAAGCCCGCCATCCGCCGTCTGGCTCGCCGCGGGGGAGTCAAGCGCATCTCCGGCCTCATCTACGAGGAGACCCGCGGTGTGCTCAAGGTCTTCCTGGAGAACGTCATCCGTGACGCCGTCACCTACACCGAGCACGCCAAGAGGAAGACCGTCACCGCCATGGACGTGGTCTACGCTCTCAAGAGGCAGGGCCGCACTCTGTACGGCTTCGGGGGTTAAACTCGCAACCTCTGCACAAAACAAACCAACTAAACAAAGGTCCTTTTCAGGGCCAGACACATGACTTTTAAGCAGCTAATTCCCTGTCAAATGTGTCCAACAAGATGCTGGTGCAATAAATTATTATTAAAGTTACATTTCATATACTTAATGCAGATGACGTAACAGTGTAGGAAAGGGTTGCTGTAAACGTCAAGTGCAACAAATAATCACAAAAAACCTGCAATCGACTCTCAAAAGTTAAATGTAGGGATGAAAATGAAGCTGCTCCACTGCGCCCTCAAGTGGCCAAGTGGACATGCAGCCACTATAATGACGTCCTCCAGGTGTATTTCATGAAGCTTCTCACTGAATCTTTGATGCCGATACGCAACTTTTCGACACTGTTTTAATCTTTAATTTAAAGGCTGGACCAAAAGCCTTTAAATTTGGTCCAGCCTTTATTACAGCTGCAAAATATCTTAAAACTGAACTTTTCACTGACTGGGCTGAGATGTTTCTCTGCTTTGAGGAAATTTCACCTGCTGTAGAAAATAACATTAGTTAGCCAATATGGAAAATGTAACATTATACAAGTTGAAATAACTTGTATAATGTTTTCTGTCTTTCGGGGGATTCTCCAGTTTTCTAAAGTTACCATGTCTTTGTGTTCAAACCTTTCTAAATGCTTTTGAAAGGCTCTAATGCTCCTGCATTGAGGTTTCATCGTATCAAAGGTCATTTCAACACCACAGGCGCCTCACCTTCAGTAATTAAAACACATCATCTGCCGTGTTGCTGTTTTTAGACACCATCTATAACTTTATGCAAAGATTATTGGGAGACATGATAAAAACCCTCCTGGATTATTGACACAGCAGCTTTCAGGTTGTTTTGGTTTGGGGGAAAACCAGGTGTAAATATGATGGGAAGCCACTGGAGCAGCTTTCAGTGCAGATGGTAAAAACAATTTAAAGGCAACAATTTTGCAGCCTTCTAAACCAGCTTTACATGTGCTGACATGAAACCTCTTCATGCATTTCCTTCATGCTGTATAGTCAACTTAAAGTATTTGGACATTTTTTTTCAACAAAAAATTTTCAAACCAAATGATTTGGTTTGAATATTGCCTTTCACGCAAATGAAAGGCAATCATTTTGCTTTCATTTGCGAAGAAACACAACTCATTCAGCGGCCAATCCTTTCAAGTTGAGCTATTAATAACCGCAGCACGTTTGAGTCAGACATATGGAAACCAGGGAAGGAATGCGTTGTAACATGAAACTCACGTCATCATTGAGATCGAGAAATTGAAACCATGGGGAGGGTGTGGTTAAATCTGATTATAAATAACATCATTCTACTGTTCAGTCACCTGCACACCTGCTGGAACTCTGACAGGTAAGATGATTGAAGAGTGTGTGTGATTATTTATCTCTGTGGGTAAAGGATAAATGTTTGTGTCATATTTTTGATTACTGTCAAATCATACATATATATTTGTATAGCCAATCATTGAATATGATCAAAAACAATTTAAATAGTCTGTGTATGAGAAATTGTAATATTCGATTTGTAACAGTACAAATATATATATATATATATATATATATATATATATATATTATATATATATATATATATATATATATATATATGTACATTTGTAGCACTTTCTGGCTACAAATGTAATAAACATATTTGTAAAAAGAAGTATTATTACAAACGTTACAAATCCTCTGGTCATACTCATTTTACAAGTAAGTGGATCCTGAAGCATTGGAGATGAATGAATGAATGAACAAACTTCATATGTTATTTCTATGCATTGCACAGAAACAAAACCGAGATTCACAGATCCACAGACAAGGATATAAAAAAAATAAATAAATATACTATAACCCAACTCTGCATGCCACATCTTTGTTGTTGTGAGGGGAAAAAAGTTATTTAAATGTCCTTCTGTATTTTTTCCCCAAACGACAGGAGTAATTGCTGTGAGCGGTATGTTAAGACGCCATCTTCTCTCTGTAAATGCCCTGCAGACGAGGCACTGATGGTTTCCTCAGCAGTTCTCATTGCCAGACTCTTTCTGCTGTGTTGTTGTTAATGTGAGGACGCTTCCAGTGTCGCATCTGCAGAATGCTGTGTTGCGCAACGAATAACTGTAAATGCCAAGCAAAGGTGATTGTTAACGTCATTAATTCTATTCAGGATTACCAAGGTAGGGCAACACCTGATTATCTGGAATGCAAAACTTAACAGCTGACAGACTTTATGAACACCTGTTTGGGTATTCATGAAGATGGATATTATAAACAATAGATGGAGTGAACTCACTACATGCTTATTCAAATCATTGCCACTCCAAAGTACAAGAATTTGTCAGCATACCTTAACTTCTGGTTAAGATGCTTATGTCGATAAGCTCTAACTGGACTGGTGACATTCATCTGAACCAGAGGTTCCTGAACCTGTTCCTCAAGTAACCCTGCAGAAGCCATCACCCATTCGTTTAAGTGAGGCGTTTGGAAGCAAGGAGACACCTGCAACTTGCAGGACAGGAGTAACTGGAGACCAGGTTTGGAAACCACTGATCCAAACTACTAAGTAAAACTGAAAAGAATGAGGAAAACTAATAAATCTTGCTTTGGATCCAAGGTTTGTCTCACAAGAAAATCATGATTTCTTGATGTCAGATGGACCTCCAGGAACCTACAACTGGTGTTGCGAACACTTTTCATGATTTTAATAATATTAGGGTCATATTGTTTATTGATCACAAGACTTTTATGCAAAATGACTCATCATTGCTTGTAATGAGTCTGAACACACCGGATGATGAAATTAGTAGACAAATTCCTTCTTTCCTGGGTGTGTCAGCATATTATGGAGAAGGGTGGAGATTTTCAGTAAGACTTTAGGCAAACTTTAGGCAAATGGTAGGCAAACTGAAACTAGCCCTGATTAGTGACAATGTGTAGTGTGATTATTCCAAACATTTCTTCAATATCACCTGGATGGTAAAATTCATTGAAGATGGATTTGGCTTGGACAGAGGAAAGGTGACGACAGTCTTTGGACAGGTTGGCACTTTGGCTTGGCTAAGAAAAAATGATAAATATGTCAGGAAATGTATTAATTAGCTGTTCAAAAAAGGCTCTCAACACAGTCTGAGTGATGTGATCTGGACCATTCTGTGGGCTTTGATATTCTGGGTTCAGTTTGTTAGAGCAGAAATACTTCACAATACTCCAATAACTTCCAACACTTTAATCTCACTATGTCTTGTTATTTTGAATACTTATGATAAAGAACCTTGTCTCTTCTGCTTTCAGGATTTCAAACTGTGGTGAAACAACCTTTTCAAGCAGAAGCAACACAAAAAAAAAGACCCTTCTGTTTGACGTGACCATCATGGACAGTAACTCAGGAGAAGATATGAACTATGTCCTTAGGTTTGATGAAAGAAATAGTCTATATTATTGTTGTGAACCGTACATTTCTGCACATGTGCAGATCCACCCAATGTCCACCAACACAAAATTGTTCTCAATGTTGGCTCTGTTGAATGCCTATGTTCCCTATTCCTACCTGACCATGGAAGAGTGTCGAAAAATCCTGGGACCGCCTGATCCCATCTATGGAGGTCCTCCCTTCAAAGTCAGAATGCGACCATTTTCTAAGCTCCTCAGAGTATCTGGCTCGAAGGTCCACCTGATTAATCCAGATATTGCTGCAAGGTCTGTGGGGCTAATGACTTACTTTGGTATTCCCAGAAGTTCCTTAGCATTGGACTGTGTGTTTCTGCTTTGTGGAGAAGAAGTCCAACCTCACACTGTCCAGTTTGTCAAAGATTTGCTAACAAGGAGAGAAATGGGTCCAAAGGGCAAGGATAAATTTTCATTGCTAATTCAAGACATCATAGAGCAAGAAAAATTTATTAACGCTCTCTTGGTTTTGAAAAAAGCTTCAAACAAATTTCGAGACAAACACTGCTTCCCCCAAACGGTTGCTCGGCTATTACAGTGGAGGACGTTACCCAAACTTCAAAAACGCTGAGAAATGGGCTAAAGAAGCCATCAAAAGAGCCCAGAACAACTCATATGCTGCAGACACCCTTGGACAAGTGTACAAGAACCATTTACTGAGAGGGGCCAAAGAATCCAGTGAGCTGAAAACAATGGCTGAGAAGGCCTTCGAGGGTTCAAAGATGTAGAGATGAAAGCAGAGAAAGAGTTAGACTCTGAATGGGGTGAATACGATGGCTGTGCCAACTACTCTGATTCATTCAACAACCGAGGTCATTTTGGTTTCATTCAAGTGGCCAAAATCATCTCTGAGAAACATGAACATAATCCGTTTGAGGACACCCACAAATTGGCAGTTGAAGACAAGTTTGAGTTCTTTGAGTGGTATCTCAGCTACTCGCAGCCTGACAGGACAACAGCAGAACCAGATTACTTTTGGAAAGATGTCGCCAGCTGCTATCAACTATACACGGCGGAAGACGCAGCCGATTCCACCAGCTTCCCTGCTCTTCTCGATTGCCTGAATCACGGCCTTTTCGTGTCGAAGGAAAAACGAGCTTTCAAGTTTGCGGTGACTGAGAAAACACAGCCACAGCTGAAGCAAACCCGAGATGAGTTAAAGACCGCTTATGAGGCAAATGTAGATGACGTGAAAGTGGCAGAGAGGTACATCCTTTCAAACATCATCTTGAACAACAAAGGGCCCGCTCTCCTCCACACACCCTGGTTAGAGAACTTCAGGCGATCCTACAGAGGTTTCTACCCACCGGGCAAACAGTAGAGACCCAGAGTTTTACCTTTGGTCCTGATGTTGTTTTGGCCAGAGGAGCATCTAAAGGCAGGCCAAGAAACAGTGCCAAAGAATTACGAGAACCTGAAACAGACAAGGATCAGCTTCAAGAACAAACTACAGAGGAAGCAGATGTAAAAGAGAAGAACACAGGAGAAGAATCTGAGCAGCTCCTTCCTGGCCTCATATATGAATTCGACATAGAAGAATATGTCGCCTTGATG